TAATTGCATATGTTTAATACATATGTATGTATATATACAGGGTGTATCTGAAATGATGCACTAAACTTTAGGAGCATATTCTAGAGGTCAAAATAAGACTTTTTTTCCTATGAACATGGGTCCGCAAATAAACCCTCCTCCGAGCTAGAGGCCCCTAAAGTTTGGGGAAAAATTAAAAATTGGCTGTAATTCAGAAAAAAAATGGCAGAAGGTTGAACTATACACCTATTACCCTCTCTTGAGAGATAAATAAATTTGCGTTGCGAGTGTTTGGTCAATTTCACACATTTTCGAATTTTAGCTCGGAGGGGGGTTCATTTGCGGACCCATGTTCATAAGAAAAAAAGTCTTATTTTGATCTCTAGAATACGCTCCTAAAGTTTAGTGCATCATTTCAGATACACCCTGTATATATACATACATATGTATTAAACATATGTAATTATATTAGTAATTATAATCTACAAATTCATATACTTTATATCATAATAAAAGAATATGCGATTTATTGTCATTAATAAGTAATTATTAATGCATGCAATCATAAATTAAAACATTTATCAATCTTTCATTAATAATATCTTGTCTCATTGATTTTTGGACGCCTACTTTGCTTTAAATTTTATCGATTTCTATTTCGCAAATTCTCGTAGCATATAAATGCAAAATCATTGAAAGACATAATAAATGCAAAATCATTGAAAGATATAATAATAGATTAATTATTATTAACAGAAATAACAAATAACTGTTATCTTCTTTATTAAATGTATCTTTCGACTTTGGTCGATAGTATTTGACGTATGTTAAATGCTGCAATCTTGCGAATATGTATAAAGGAATGACGCATTCTTTTACAACTCAATAAGCCACGTAGAAAAAAAATACCAATTTAAAAAAATTTACCAATCACAATAAAAACTCGTTGTTTTTTTTTTTTTAATCGCGAGAAGCTACATTATTCGAACAATATTATACTAAATAACTTAAGAATTAAGAAAAATAAAATTATTTATAATACTGGCTTTATTAAATCAAAATAAAATTTTAAATTAAATTTAATGAGACCAACTTTTAACATAAATGGTCATTGCAGATATTACGATTGAATCAAACATCTTTAAGCCAAACAGGTGCTGGACAGATTGTGAATCTTCTCAGCAACGATGTTAATCGCTTCGATTCATTATCATTATGTCTGAATTATATATGGATTATGCCTATTCAGGTAACATTTCGTTTAGCAAAAATTATTTGTGTATGTGAAATATTCAGAAACAAGTAAATATTTTCAAAAAATATATCTTGCGATTATGTCTTCTTTAATTATTATTTCTTAAACTAATTAATTCTTTACGTAGAGAGTATTAATAAATATATTTATTTTACTTGCTATAGTTTAAAAAAAGTATTTTTATTTCTATTTCTATATACACTTTTATCTCTTATTTCTCTCCTCTGAGATACAAATGAGAATGAAACTGAGATTTATGTTATAAGAACGCAGCATATTTTCGAATGTATTCATTATTTTCCTAGACATTATTTTATATAGCAAAAAGTTACCTATTAAAGAGTTACTAGTTCTTCTCTATTTACTAGGTCATAATCATGGGATACATAATGTGGCAGAAGGTCGGTGTCTCGATTTTCATTGGCATCGGTTTATTGTTGATCATCAGCCTACCGATACAGGGAACCTTCAGTTTGCTAAGCCGTGACAATAGAGCCATGATTGCGTCATTCACCGATCGACGAGTGCAGCTGATGAACGAGCTTATAGCCGGGATACAGGTTCCTCTGGAATATCATATTCGTTATTTTATTTACAATTTTAAATAAATTTTATGAATTTAAAATTTTACAATAAATTTTTTTTTTTTATTTTACGGAAAAAATCCACAAACCCTTGTTTTTTTTTTATTTCAGGTGATAAAAATGTACGCCTGGGAAAAACCGTTCAGCAAGATTGTATCAATAACGAGAGCGCTGGAAATCAAGAAGATTCAATTCTCATCGTACGTGCGCGCTGCGTATTTGGCCATCGCAGTGTTTACCGAAAGGCTCCTTCTTTACTTTACATTAATAATGTTCGTATTATCGGGAAATGATCTAAATGCTGATGTAACTTATACTCTTGCAACATTTTTCAACACTCTTCAACTCACCGTGGCCTCGTTCTTTCCGCAAGCGCTCATATCGTTGGGCGAAGCGATGGTGTCTATGAATCGATTGGAGGTACGTTATTGGAATTGCACTATAAATTGATTCTCCTATTTTTTGCCCTTATGTATTTGTTCAATGACTAACGAGGCCTTCAACACGCAGGATCTGCTATTGATGGACGAAGTAAATATGGAATGCTTCAAGAAAATACTACGTGTGCGGTCGAAAGACGAAAAATCGAACAAAGCGACTGCTATGAACAATCGAATAGACATCTTTAACTATAAAACCTCCGAGCAGGAATTGTATCGTAGCCGTCCAGTTTGCGTGAAGCTTCATCACGTTTCCGCAAGCTGGGTCAACGATCAACTGCCACCGACTTTGTGCAACATTTCAGCGATCATCAACCCGGGCGAGCTGTACGCCCTGGTCGGCCCCGTGGGCTCCGGCAAGTCTTCCGTCCTCCATTTGCTGCTGAAAGAGTTGAATCCCGGTGCGGGCTCTGTGATTTTCACGCATGATTTTTCGAAGAATGTTTCTTACGATAAATTGGTTAACGGTTATTACATGGACAACTTGAATCCGCGCATTTCCTATGCCAGCCAGGAACCCTGGCTCTTCAATGGCACCGTGAAGGACAATATATTGTTTGGCCAATCCTTCGACAGGATCAGGTACACTGAGGTACACTGAACAAAAATGTATTAAAACAAAAAATTTTTTTTTGGTTTTAGAAATTATTTATTTAAATACTTACAAAGAAATTATTTATTTCAATCAAGCAGCAAATATATTTGAATTAGTAAAATATATATGTAATAAAAGCAAAGTATGATTTATTTGCAAATAAAAAAAAACTTGTTTTTTATTTTTATTATACTAAATTGTTTTCTTAAAAAAAACGTTTTTCAATGTTTGGTTCTTTGTTTAAAAAACACAGTATTTTTTAATTTTAATAAATAATTTTTTAACTTCGAATAAATATTTTTTTATATTAAAATTCTTAATATTTTATTTAAAAGTTATAATTTTTATTACATGCAAATAATAATTTATTTAATATAACAAAACATTTTTAGAAAGTATATTTTTATTTAAGTACAAAAAATCTGAACTAATAAAATGAATTTATTTGATTACAATAAATTTTATTTTTAGTGTAGTTATATCAAGGTTTAATAAATAAAAACTATATAACTTTATATTTTTTCTTAAATCTCTCTCTTTCTTAAATCTTCCAATCATTAGAAAGACTGTTGGACAAATTGAAAAACAATTTACTTTTTTCATTTTTAAGCATCCTAATCATCTTGACGGTTTCAGGTGACAAACGTGTGCGCATTGAGAAAGGACTTCCAACAGCTTCCCCAGGGCGATATGACAATAGTTGGTGAAAGAGGTGTGTCTCTCTCCGGAGGTCAAAGAGCGCGGATAAATCTCGCGAGGGCGGTCTACAGGCAAGCGGATCTTTATTTGCTCGACGATCCTTTGAGCGCGGTAGACATCCATGTCGCCAAACATCTCTACAAAAAATGCATCACCGAGTATCTCCACGGAAAGACGAGGATTCTTGTCACTCACCAGTTGCAATTTATAAAACGCGCGAACCACATTATCGTGCTGGATCGAGTGAGTGTCGAGTAAAGATTTCTGAATCAGGTTTTCAATCATCCAAGTTGTTCTTTCCATTAAATTTCTATTCCAACTCGAAAAATTAAATTCAAATCTTTCATATAAAAATTTTATTTTATCGAAAAAATATAAGAACTTAGTATTGTCGATTGGCAAAAATATTAATCACATATTTTATCAAATTAATTGATCCTTTTTCTTTCTAATTGCTTTATATTTTCATAAAGTAATATATTTAATTCATAAGAGAATAATTCATATATCAAAAATAAATAAATGCGCACATTAAAACTAACACATATAATAATAAAATTAATTAATACTAGTATTAACAAGAAATTCCTTTATCAAGAGATAATGAAAAAAATATATAATATTATTATTTATTATAAGATTATATGTTAATAATAAGAGAGTTAAATATTCTTTATATAATCTGTTTAATTTTGCTTTTGAAGGGTTTCGTAAAGATGCAAGGAAGCTATAACGAATTGGTGAAATCAAGCAAAGATTTCATTGAGATGATGAATGAATTGACGACAAGCCATGAAACACAAAAGAAAGAAGAAAACGCGAGAAGAATCTCGGAAATGTCTTCGAAGAATATTTCGATATTCAGGCGTACTTCGGAAGTGACGATTGCAAGCTCCATCGTTGTAAGACAATCACTATTTATTGACTCATCGTGTTTTCTCATTGTTTTTCTTAGACAAAAAAGTGGCTCAATATAAATCGAATTATTAGAACTATATACTCCGTTCGCACAGCTGTATTAATTATCAAAGATGTTTAACATAGCTTTGCGCGGTATAAAATCACAAATAATGTAATAATGAGATGTGTATAAATAATGTATAAATTAGAGAGTCTGAGTTTACTTAGATTTTCTTTATTCTGATTTTATACCGCGCAAAACTATATTAAATATCTTTGATAATTAATATAGCTATATAAGTAAAAATTTTTCTGCATAGTATTCGGACATCAACGATTCCGGCTATGCGGAAAACAATCCGGACGGTGAAGCGATGATGCACGGGCAGGTATCCAGCAAGGTGTACAGAAAATATTTGCATCACGGTGGCAACTACTTTACTCTGTTCGTGCTGCTGCTATTCTTCATCATCAGCCGGGTCGCTCTCACTGGCAACGATTACTGGGTTTCGTACTGGACCAATATGGAACAACTCAGGCAAAATCAAGACACTGTCGATGCCAATCGAGTCAGTAAAAAGTACATGGACACGCGTAACGACAGCTTCCTGGCATCGATCATCACCCTGAATTCGGATGGTCTGCTCAGTACCATAGACGCCATATACGTTTACACATTCTGCATTCTCACTTGCACCGCTACCACATTGTTCTGCAGCTTCTTCTTTATGAAAATCTGCATGAACTCCAGCGTCAACTTGCACAACACGATGTTCTCCAATTTGTTGCAGGCACGCATGTCCTTTTTCCATACCAATTCTTCCGGTAAGCGCAGCGATGAATTGAATAAAGAAAAATGATATAAACAAAGAAAAATATGTCATATAAGAGAAATTATAATAATTTTGAAATTTGGATTATTTTGAATTTGAGAACAAAAAGATTGAAATTTTTTTTTTTTTAATTTCTTGAGTTTTATCGATATTATAATAAATCTATAGGATTTATTATAATCCTATAGATTTATTATAATATCGATAATACTCAAGAAATTAAAAAAAAAATATTTCAATCTTTTTGTTCTCAATTTTTTTTGTTAATAACTTTTTAATAAGCAACGAGCGACGATTAAATTAGAAGAAAAAGTTACTCAAAATTATGTCCTTGATAACATATGTCAAGGTCAAAGTCATTGGGGCTGGGTACCCTATTCGCTATATTTACCATAATTTTTTCAGGGCAAATCTTAAATAGATTCTCAAAGGACATTGGCACAATAGACGAAATGCTACCCAAAATAATCCTAGAGGCATTTCAGATAGACAGTGCATTACTGGCTATACTAATCATAGAGTCGATACTTAATCGATGGATGATAATACCGATAATAATACTGGTTATTTTATTTTTTTTTATAACAAAGTTTTACCTTAGGACCGCTCAAAACCTCAAACGTCTTGAAGGAGTAAGTAAGTATTCAGAGAAATAATCATTTATTAAAGCTTATGGCACATACAGCGATATTTTTCTTGATTTTCTTAAATCATCAAAGTCGAACTCTTACGTAACTTTTATAATTTAGAACTTTTTTAATTTACAATTTTTTTCCATTGAACGCCAATATATCTGGATTCTAACGTCCTTAGAGCAGATACACGAGCTACATGATACATTCATGTTCGATATAACTTCGTTTTCAGGCAAAAGCCCGTTGTTTTCACACATAAACACTACGCTGAACGGATTGCCGACGATCAGAAGCACCGGCATCGAGAAGATGATGCGAAACAAGTTCGATGCATTGCAGGATACTCATAGTGGTGTATGGTATCAAATTTTGACATGTGGGATTGCCTTCGCTATTATTCTTGACACGATTGCATGCTTATTCATCGCCTGTCTCTGTTATTCCTTCATACTATTAGATGAAAATGGTATGTAATTTCTCTGCGATATTGCACTTTCGGAATATTCATTGTTAGTTGTTTCTATGCAATTTGTTATTTTGGAAAGTAATAGACTTATAATAAATTAATGTTATATATTTTATGTTGACAGATGTCGAAATGTATGAGAATATATGATATTATAAATATAAATAAAAAGAAAAATATTTGCGAGTTTGTAAAAAAGATACAATATATATTTTACATAATATAACGTTATACAAAATAATATCTTCTATTAATTGGTAATCTTTGAATTTAAAAAAAAAAAATTTTTTTTGTTAATTTTTAGGCAGCGTATCCGGTAGCGAAGTAGGACTGGCAATTTCCCAATCACTGACTTTGACCGGCGGTCTGGAATACGGCATAAAACAGATAGCCGAGACTTTCTCGCTGATGACAGCTGTGGAAAGAATTCTCCAGTATACAAATCTTCCCGCGGAATCAGCTGTTACCTCGGACGACCCTCCGCCGCCTACGTGGCCAGCCCAAGGGCAATTAACGCAGGTTTTGTATCGAATCGAATCTTCAGCGAACATCTAGACATGATCAACGTGCGGTCAATTTATGAATTCGATATTCTATATTTGTAATTATTCTAAATTTGTATTTCCGTTTCCAGCACGGATGCCTTAATTCAAGACACCATAAGGAGGAATTTTAAAGAGTGCACTGTCATTACAATAGCGCATCGTTTGAACACCGTCATAGACAGTAATCGCATCATCGTAATGGAAAACGGTTGCATTGTGGTATGTATTTCGTTGAAATGTGGAAATATGATAAAAAGAATATTGATTTTATAAAAGATAACAAAAAAAATATGCACACAATATCCATTTTCTTTATATAATTATTTTAAAAAAAAGTTTTACATATTTAAATAGAATTTTAACAGATATCTCTTATAAAATAGACGGTCAATGTTTATATCGTAAGCTTTTCTTTTATAATTTTGGACATAATTGTTTTAAAATCATATTATTAGTTCATACGCAGATAAAGTTAATATCTTTATAATATTTATTTTTCTTTTTTTATACTGTGAAAAAACTTTTAGTATAACAAAAAAATAGAATTTTTTTAAATCTTGAAATTTTGTCAAAAGAATGAGAAAATCCGTATATCTAATAATCAATATACAAATAGGAATTTGGCAGTCCATACGAATTATTGCATAAACCGGACGGCTACTTTAAGCAAATGGTGGAGAAGACGGACAAGCAAATGGCTCAGAATCTTTTGGAACAGGCAAAAAAGGCCTATCAGAAAAACGATGATAATCGGAATTTGAATCTGTCAACACAAAATTCTAGCGAGAGTAACATTATAATCACAGAACAAACCAAACTGTAAATTTACTCATACTAATAATAGTATTTTGCATTTAGCGGAAACAGCTTTGTAACTATCGTGAGAATCGTATTAATCTACTTACTAGCCTGTTATAATTTTTCAACATATTGCTAAACGGTCGTAATTTTTCACGACGTATTAAAAGTTATCTTTTAGCAGAAATCAATTTCGCATATAAACTAAACCGTCTATGACAGAATTATAATAGATTGTGATGTAAACGATATCGATATCATTAAAATGTGCGTAATTGATAATGCTACTTGGTCCTGAATATTCAATAATGCTACTTGTAATATATGTGTCACTTTAGGATAAGTATATGTACATTATATATTATATATGTCATTGTTATGTATCAGAGGTCATAATATACGGTCATTATATTAGAAGAAATTTATTTTTTCAAATTTCTTATGCAGCCTCGAATTTTTCAAGTTTGATAAGAAATAATCGTTCGAAAACATCTCATACAATATAATATATACAATACATTATATACATTGATGTACTAGAAATAAATTATAAATTTATGTATAGCGTGTTTGCACGATATCTCAAATTTTGTGTATATGTAATTTTTCTTATATAATATATTTTAAAGACATTTTTAAAAAGATAGAAAAATGGAAAAAACGAGAGAGAGAGAAAAAGAGTAAAAGAATCTGGGAGTGCATCTGTTTAACAGAAAATGTATAAAAGAATAAAATTAATAATTACAAATTAAAATAATCTATTTTGCACAAATTAAATGTTAATCATTTAAGTTTCGATCGTAAATTTATTATTTTAATAAGATAAAAAAATTATCTTTTTTATTAGAACTGTTATGAGAATTTTATAACATACTAGAATAATATAAGCGCCATTTATTTTGTGTGTGTGTGTGTATAATTACTTACATATTAACTCTAGTTCTCCGTTTTTTCAAAATCAATTAAATAAAAATTACATACACACTTAATATTTGAATTCTCAAATGCGTCGCTCAGTCATAACAGGCTTTTATAAAGTAGATATAAAATAATGCACAGTGCAGCGTCGAGATAAGTAATCAGCATCGCGGAAAAGAGGTAATAATACTTGCGAGTACCGATTTAACATACCTTTTTAAGGGTGGATATCTCGATGAGAACAGCATATTATTAGAATATTACAAAATGTGTTATATAAAATATTATAAAATGCGCCATTTAGTTTTTATAAATGATAATAGATAAAAATGATTAAAAAATCGAAATTTCTCTTGCAATATTAGTTGAAGCGTAAGAATGTTAGAAGTTTTTTTTATATCTCGCGGGATGCTATCCAGAACTCTAAATAAAAAATCGGAATTGCGAAAAAATTTACCTTTAAAATATCTAAATTAATTGAAAATATATATTTGTATATAAAATTTAATATTTTGTGTATATATGTATATATGTATATATGTCATAGTACGTAAAATATTTCGGCAGCGAATTATTAATAACATGGTATTCGGCCTTGGCGGCGTGGCGTAAACATTGGCGCGCTATCATTTACAAATTTACATACCTCGATTCTGTTATTATTCGCGCGATGATACTCGAGCAAGAAAGTAATCGTGCGAGACGCTCCGTCGAATTCCTTTTCTAAACGCGATCGCGATCAGTATCAGGAAATTATTTGCTTATAATATAATTAATAATTAATTAATATTTATAAATAATACGTAACTACATATATATATATCGCGACGATAGATCTCAAATCACATATTTTGTACAAGACGCTCAAATTCCTTTCTTACGTGTTATCATTCGCGCAGCGATATTCGAGCAATAAAGTAGCAGTGCGTCGTCGGTGCCGTCATCGTGCCGCGGACGGATTTCGCGTCTTTCGCGTCGCGTATCACCACAGCATTGCCACGAGTCGCACAATGGCTCATATGTGGCACGCGCATTTATGCGTCGAACGGACATTAGTGCGTCGTCGGTGGTCATCGTGCCGCACGAGCAACGATGCGACGCGTTATCGCGTTCTCGCGTTTTCGCGTCGTCGCGTCTTCGCGGTAGACTTCTATCTCGTTTTTACAATTGTCATCGAGGATCATACTTCGTTGCCGACTAAATGGGATGTCTCTCAGCGTTGCAATCTTTAATATATTAATACCTATTAATATAATTAATTTTATATTAATATCAATTAATATTAATACTATATTAATATTATATATTATATAAATATTTATGTATTAATAAATTTAATATATTAATGTAGG